AAATTGTATTTGTTTTCTTGTGCCTATTTTTGTACCCTCTCTGCCTTCTCACCTTCTAATATTTCTCTCCTTCCCTGGTTTTCCTGCCTCTTGATCTTGTTTCATTTCTTGTTTTGCTGTCTCAGACTTGTGCTGGTGATCCTTCTTCTTCTCTTTTTCTGTATTAGCTTTGTGCTCTCTTACTACTAAGGGATGCCTTGCAGTTGATATTAAAATGAGATTAGTAATACTCCCAAAACAGCATGGAGCATGCTACACTTAGCTAATCCAGCCCTTCCCCTGTGCTCTGTAGATGACAGCAGAACAGAGCAGAGAGGTGCTCCAATGACAGCAATGTAATAATCCACTGCCATAAGGGGTATAAAGTTTTTTTTTGTTTTGGTTTGGTTTGGTTTTGGTTGGTTGTTTTGTTTTGTTTTGCTTTGTTTTTTGCTTTGTCTTTTAAAGAGGGCTATTATTTTTCTGTTTTAATGTTTTTAGTGCTCCCTTTCCCATCCTACACTGCCACAAGGCACACAGATGCAGATGTGCCCTACGTTCTAGGGAGGGCGTGTTTTTACAGTCAAGGTGGACTTTAAAATTACCTCCACATTCCATTCCATCATTCTTGTAACATTGCACGAATGATATATGTATTTTATACACAGAGGTGGCAGTATTATTTTAATGTCATGATTTCCTTGGTGTCCTGTAACAGCTGTGTCAGGCAGCAACTGTCTTTACAAGGATGTCCCTTGAAAATGAGATCTTTAGGTCTCCTTTGCAAATAAAATCCCTTCGAGGGAAATACAAGCAAACCAATCTGCTGATCTCTTTGGCCAAAGATATGAAAGCTGAAAGGGTTGACTGGGCACAACTTTCTTAGCAAGCACAGGTTAAGCAGAATCTGAACTTAAACCTAACAATGAAAAAAATGTATGTACAAGGAAGAAGGGACTGAGGGAAGCTGAAAGCAAAGTAGTGACAGGCCAGATCGCCATTCAGGAAGAGAATAACAGCTTTTTCTTTGCATCTGTGCATGGTCTCACTCCTACACCTAAGGAGCTCATTACATCCTTTAGTAAGACTAATGTCATGGTACAGAAGGATCTATAGCTGAAGCTCAGATAAATTCCTTGTGTCTTCTGCCCTTATCTGTGCTCCCTGAAGTACCATGCTGCTATGCAACTGCTCTGCCACATTTCAATTTTTTAGATTCCTCCCAGAAGTAATTGCAGAAAAGCAGTTCCTCCACTTCCAGGTTTGAAGAAAATACAGATTCTTAAAGGGAACACGGTTTTATTTGACTTGATGAAGAAAAATTATATAAGTAAACCCAAATATGGAATCGCAAGCAAAACTGACCAATGCTGTGTTTTGGCCATACCTTAACATTTGAGTGACTTCAACTGCTTATCAGTAGCATTTATAACTTTGATAGATACATCTCTAATAGGAAATTGTTTTGTATGAAACAATTTACTTTCCCAATTTACATATCACACTGTAACTATTCAAGTTAATGACAACATATCTACAACAATGTATTTGGCCTGAGAGAGGAAAAAAGAATATGCAACACATGGAGTTACACATGGTCTGTGTTTCAATAATGTATGTAAGTTGAGAAGTGCCTCAGTTTCTGGGATCCAAAGTAAGTAATTTCTCTTAAGTAAGTAAGCTCAATCAGATCTTGATGTTTCTGAAAATGCAGAGACATCCCTCTGGAAAACAATTGATTGACTGTCACCAAACAACTTTGTTTTTTTTGGGGGGGGGAGGTGATGTTGGTGTTGTGCTGTATGTAACATATAATTGTATTCGTGCTGTTTAAAAATAGAAGTATTTGGCATATGCCTTTACCTGTGCTTACTTCATTATCTGTCTTGCCATTCGAGATAAGCTTCAAGTATTTACAATTGATGCTTCCATTTAAGAAGTAAGCTCTACAAACAAGTGTGGTTTTCCTGTATAATATTCCATAAAGGCTAAAGGTTAAATTGCCACAATAAAACACAAGACTGAGTGGTTTTCTTGACCATCTTCATTGCTGCTTTAGCATTCTCTAAAAAACCAGTCCTGCGTATAGGTGTGTTATGGAAGGAAGAACAAGCTTACCTGCCACACAGAATTCCTTGGGCCTCTGATTATCCATGTTATTTATTGAGCCTTATAAATTCTATGGGGTTTTGGGTACTTTACATTTATGTAACATTTTTGCAGTAGGCCATCTTATCTATTTCCCAGAAAATATTTTTTATGTTGTCTATCTCATTAAAGGGAAGGTTTGTTTTCTCATTAACTCCTAAAGAAGGCAGAACTAATCAACTGTGCTTTTTATCCCACTGATTAATGTCATCTATAAATTGTGTTGGAAGGCTAATTCCTTGTTTCTGCACTAGAGAACTAGAGAAATAATGCAGGTCAAGGACAAAGACATATCCTATGTAAGCAGATAGACTCCTGACAGCATAATCTGTAAGTGGAAAGTTAACACTTGGCTCTTTGAAATAAGTTTTAACCTGACAACAGCAATAAGCTTCTCAGAACTGGATCTGAGAGACTGAAGAGTCAAAAAATTAATTAGTGTTCTGCTCAGACAACATGATTTTGGTGCTATTGAGCACGCAGTCATTCTTCCCTGATCCTGCTCTGAAGTAATATGCCTAGAAAAGTTATATGAAATATGTGTCTCTACTAATCCTGAATAAACCATAGGAATGTTTATAACTATATAAAATCAGTCCTGGTACAAATTTAAGTCTTTTTAGCTTTATTTCTGCAGATAAAGACAGTATCTCTGAGTCTTTTGAAAATCAGACATACGTCTAAAACATTGGCCCTTTGGCCATAGATCTCCCAGCTGTGGTACCAGTACTAATGATTAAATGATTCCATGACTGACTAAGATCTGGTGGATAATGCCCTTCCAAATTTAAGGGGAATGGTCTCACAGTGATCTGTGAAGTGTAAGGACAAAAGGCTCACCCTAATACAAACACAGGAGGGAGCCCAGTTACCTCACCCCTCTTCCTCCTCCTCCCCCAACATCACCTAGAGCAGCTGTAAAGTGCATTCTTTTGATATGTTCTTATCCATCTGCCTTGTAGTGTTAGCCTGCTTTCTATCAACCCTGCAAGTGTGAGGGAACTTGTACAGCTCCTTGTCTGGAGGGGTGGTGCCTCTTGGGATAAGAAAAGCCATTGGACCTGCTGCTTGGGGGCTGGAAGTGTGATAGCAGCAGCATATTTAAACATGACTCTCCTGCAGGATGAATCACTTTATCAGCCTGTTTAGACGTGAGTCATGGAGGCTAGTGAAAGGGTTCCAATGGCTTGCTGCTTTAATAAATTGTCTTTTGTAAAGTAATTTATGTTCCTGGTTTGTACCTTTTTCACATTTCTCAGGAGAAATCTTAGCTAGTAAACACCCTGGACCAAGAAAAGGTTGTAACGTATCTCTTGGGTATGCACTTTTTGTTCCAGGGTCTTCAGGAATGGTTGATTTACAGTAGAGGAAGAAGTAAAGCTGGGGGATTTTGTCAGCCCTGTAAGAAATCTAGGTTTCTTTTTTGCTGTGGAATTATCCATGAAAGATTATGTGGCCCACGTTGGAAAGGTTATAAAGCAATGCTGATGGGACTGAGAGGAAACCAGGAAAAAAATGTTCAGGGTACAGGTGGTGATTGCACAGAATAAGTGTACAATTCTGCCTCTGCACAATGAACAAAATGGGGAAAACTGAGTGGAATGCCCCCTTCTTCTCTGATCTGGCCCCGTGGGAATTTCTTGAGGCAGTGCTCTGTGTGTGGCCCATAACTCTACCCAAGTGGACTCAGGGCTAGGCTGGAGCTGGAGGGCATGTGTGGCTTTGGGATCAGCCTTTTCATAGGTCTGCTCAGCAGGGAGGATTTGGCAATGGCAGGTAGCGCTGCACCAGGAGGCTGGGTGAAGCTTGGCAGCTGCCCTGCAGTCCTTCCTCTCCCATGGTAAATGCATCTTCCTGTTGGGATTCTTTCACTTGAGACCAACTGACAGGGCTTTTATGTATTTGTTGACTTTTGTGCTATTTGCATGAACACATGCTATGCCGTGCCATGCTGTGACTAATGCCCAGGGTATGTGATGTTCATAACTGGGTGTTTGTACAGGGCTGCTGCCCTTGAAGTGGCAGCTGGACAGCTCTGCTGCCTGAAAGCCTGCACAGAAAGGAGCCCTTTTTTGGGTACCTCAGATACAGGATCCACACCTCACACCCTACACTATCACGAGATAGTTTGCGATGATAAACCAAACCAGTGCCAAACACTGCTGTGTGAACGGGCAGGAGTGCACCTGCCTGGTGTGCACATGTTTGCGTCTTCTGTTTATGCAGGAATATGTGCTCGCAGAAGTGTCTGGGGTGCTTTCAGCCCTTTCTGCCAGCTGATGTGGGAACAATACTCTACGAACACCTGTGGGAGCAGAAAGTAAATAAGGAGTGCTTGCACGTGCTGCTGGCTGATGTGCATCCTCCGGCACTCAATGCAGTAAAGATTTACTCTGTGAATTTTGCAGTGTTGTAGCTGGGATGCTGTAATACAGCTTGTCATGTCTTTAATCAGCCAGTTATGAACAAGAAATAATTGGTGTTCCAAAAATGGTTTTGCTTATATTTTTTAGTTATTTGTTCAGCAAATGCTTTTATTTCCAGGGCCCTGCTAATTAATGAACCATCAATTTAACAACTGCTTTCCCCTTGTTATTTTAAGAAATACTTTTAAATGTGCTACCCATTTGCAGCTGTAAGCCATAAATATTTCCTTTAAAGGCTTGAACTGGAGAAGTCTGTACTTTAGGTTTCCTTTCCAAACTGAAGAAAATGCTTTAAATGTGTTTGCATTCCTTATTTGCTGTCTTATGAATTGCTCTCTATCACTAGATAAAGCTGGATGTTTCAGCACACTTCAGTCTTACTGCAGCTCAGGGCTGAAACCTTCTATCTAATTCAGGAACTTTTTATTTATTTCTTTTCCTCTATAGGGTTCACAGCTAAAGTGGTAAAGTCATCTGCAACTCTGGCAATAGCTGGGTTTGCCTGCTAGCCAGGGCCAAAGTCTGGATCCATTCAAGTCAGGTAAGCTCCACATTTTGTGCCCTTCTACCAAAACTGGACAAACTCCTGAACCACTCCTACCTCCCATCATGTAAGGCGATCAGAGACTATAAGCTTAATATCTAAAGGAGAGGGATTTGTTTTGTGCATGGGTCAGCTAAACATTATTTGCTTAGATGATGGTTACCCCAGTTATGGGTTTGCAAGTAGGCGTATTGCAGTTGGCTGCACTTTACCTGGAATAAAACCAGTTGGATCCCTAGCTGTGACAGTACCTGAGGATTAAAATGATGTCCTGTGGTTTTAGCATCTGTGCTCTGAAAAGAGATGCTGGAGCATATATTCTAAATGTATAATCAAGGAATGGGAAAAGATTAACAAGCAATATCTGTCTTCTGTAATCAGCTTTGGAAACAACAATAATAAATCTTACTTGCTTGATTATTTGATGAGGTCTAATAAATATTTGAACCAAATAGTAAGATGCATCTATAAACAACTGAAAATGCAAGACTTCAGATAATCTTATCTTCAAGAATTGATAGCAGCTAAACACTTCCTCTCATGCCTTTTCACCTTTTATTGACCCACTTTCCATCTGTGTACCACCTCTCTGCTGGCTGTCTCCTGACATAAATAATATCTTGCTGATGGGGCAAAATTAGGATTTTGTGAAGCTTTGTCTGGCTGACCTGAATGGGGCTATGCCTATGCTATCTGCTTTGTCAGATGGTAGGCTACTTAATGCTGTTTCCCTGGTCTAGACAACTGTCTCCTGAGGACTGGTTCTCCCTTAAAAATCCAAATATAGTGGGAAACAAATTCTCATTTATTGTCTCCATAACCGTCAGCAAGTATTTGAGAGCTATGGTAGCACAACTGCCACTTGGTTGTTTTTGCAGATGGAGGAAAAGGCTTCATGCTCACTTAGCAAGAGAAACACTTGAAATTGTCAGGGCCGTAATTAGGCCAATATAGTCACATAAAAGCTGAGTATTTTTCCCTTGATTTACTGGCCTAGTCCACTCTGCATTTGTAGTAGCTTTGAGTAGTTTTGTAATAGTCCTTAACAGTCCCATTTGGAGAAGATATAGAACACCAGTCAGTTAAGAACACAATTTAGTTCGTATCTTGCACACATGTGACAGCAGGACAATTTAATACATTTTTCCAAACTCTTTATGTAATCTAAATAATGGCAGTATTGTTCCATTCTTATGTTTTTGAAGATCAACATGCAAACCAAGAAAAATACTTTCCTATTTTAAAGAATATTGATGGGCAAAAAAAGTAATGGTGGTGTGCAAATGTGAACTCGTATATGCATGTTGTTCAGGGTTACCTCATTTTCCCCTTACCACATGTGAAACAAAAATGCAAGATTAATGCAGGAATTGAAGCAGTATCACCACCAGAACAAAATGGTTGGAAAAATGATTACTGTGATAAACACAATATTTAATGGCTGCCAAAATCACTTTCTCTGTCCTTCACCATGAATGGGAAGGAAATGAAATCTGGGTCTAGCGAGAAGCAGTATGTTCTTGGAGACTGACCCTGGGTCAGTTTTGGAGTCTTGATCTCAACATTTTTCAAAATCACTAGTCTTTACTTAGATTGTAAAGCCACAGTTTTCCCATCATTTGGTTATGAAATGGTTCACAAGAAGCATAGCTAAAATCCAGTTCAGAATCTTTGATAGCAGCATATGGACCTTACAGCATTCCCAGTCCAAATGCTGGTCATGGAAGAAATTCCAAACTGGGCATGGTTTTGGTTTCATTATGAAACCCTTTGAACAGTCTTACAACTCTATTTGGGTAATTTTTGCCCATGTTGAATAATTTCAGAACTATTTTTTTCCTGAAGATAATAATTTTTCTTACTGTGTTAAAACATCGAGAAAGTAACAGATGTACTTAAAGCATGTTTTGTTATTAGTACATAAACCAACAACCAAGTACTTTACTAACAACACAATTAAGTATTTTCCATTAAACATTTGAATCTCCTGTCCAGTAGTGTAGGCTGTTGACATAAAACACAACAAATGTGCTGGATATAAACTAAAGAAGTTGAAATTAACTCCCACTGAAACAGCATTCACTAGATCTGGCCATAGTATATGGGTTTCTGTGGGGGGGGAAGGAGGGAGGGAAGGTCAGTCAGTTGGTCTGTCCTCATCTTGGCTGCATATATTTTGAGCAAATTCAACATAAAATTCTTTCTTAAAACAGTAACTTGTGTTCTGATTCAAAAGCAAAAATTAGACTTGATGCCTTCACAGATATGCTTACAGTTAGGTAAACCTGTACACTTTGCAGAAACAAAAACCTGCAAAACAACCTTCAATTGATTATTAAAAAAATAGTCAACTAAAAAATTCACTTTGGTTTGTAACTTGGTTTTGAAATCATTTACAAAGCCATGGTTAAAGTCCTACTAGACAGGCTATAGAGCTCTGCACTATTAAATACACTTATTTTAAACTGGGTTAGTCTGTCCTTCGGGGCAATGCCACAATAGTTAAGGCAGTGCCAAAGAATCACACGGTTGCAGAATATTTACTTGGAAATAAGGTGTGTATTGAAAGCCAATGTCAGCGGTTTCAAGATCCTGTCTTCACCAACCCCGTGATTCCAGGCAATGGGAAGCACACCTGGACAGGTTTCCAGGGGCATAATGTGAGAGGCATTATGCAGGGGGTGGGAAAGGCTTAACCTCATATGGCTGCACAGTTCAAAAAGTGTGTAATACTTGCTTTTTTTCTTTCTTTCTTCTTTCTTTCTTCTTTTTTTTTTTTTTTTTTAAAAAAAGGGTTTAACTTTGTTGTGTGAACAGGCAATTGGATGCATCACAGGAACAGCTTGTTTCCTTTTAATGGAATGACACAGCACAGCAGTTCCCAGGCTGTAATATGTTGATTAGGTTTGTGTGTAAACTGCAATCAGGTGATAGCTGAACTGGTTTGAAAGTATAAAATCAGAGGAGGAATACATTTAAAATGCATAATTAAGAAAGCTGGTATAACCAGGTGTCTGAGCTTCCAGTGCAGTGTGTGCTGGGAATGATCTGAGAGCTGCTGATAAATTTAAGACTGGAGAAAAAGAGTCGAGTTGCTGCCTCCCTCCTTGGTTGTACAGTGCTGAGCACTGCATGTTATAAATAATAGATCTTTCTACAGAGAGTTAACTTATTCCTTAATCACCATGAGGGCTGCGGTTGTGTGCTTGAATCCCAGTTCAAGCATTTGCAGCTGCTCTGACATGTACTTTCTTTGTGCCCTTGGAAGCCAGCCACCCCCTCCCCAAAGAGCAGTCCTTATTTTTTCACTTCCCATGCTTTCCCTGTGCTTGGGCTCTGAGGGGAAAGTTTCAGTCTGGTTTAAGAAAAATCGCTACATTTGACTTGAAATATTCGTTCTGTCTTAGAGAACACGCTTTGTTACAAGAGCACTTGAGCACTAGGAAAATCTGCTAGTATTTAGAAAATTTACCTCTGCATATGAGAGAGTGTGTGTATGTGCATGCATGTGTTATTTCAAGATAACAAACCACGATCTAGAAAACTAAAGGGTCACTTGAAGCTTGTCTTCTTGTTAGCAGCAGTTGTTTTATTTTTCTTTAACTGAGCAATAGAAAATTTTTAAGAACATATATACTGGAAAGCAAACATGACTCTACCTCAGCCTTCCTTCTGTAAAAAAGTGTGAGCTGTTACCACCTCCTCCATGAAACATGTCTGTGCTAGTGTGCAGCTGGCTGACATTTGTGCTATCTATGCTGTTGTCATTTTTGATTGTTGGATTAAACTTTGGAAAAGGCGGGGGAGAGTGTTTTTGTATGCCATTTATATAGGTCAGAAATTGTTTTCTTTATGTGCTTAATATAAGTAAGAAAAGAATATGAAATTAATTTTGGCAAATACTGTATGGATGTCTAAATTCTTGTATAATCATTCAGTAACTTAAACACCCTGCAAAATAATAACATGTCATGGAACTAGTCAAATGCTTTATTTCTGAATTAAGTTCTGCCGTGCACACAGCTTTTTTACTTTTAGACCACTTCACGTGAAAGAGAAGAAAAAAAAAGTCCATGTAAATAGAGAAAGAACTTGTTTTAACTTCCTGTATTTTGGGCATGGGCATGCTGGTGTCTGCAAATATTTCAGTGATGTGGGCATATATTTGTTGCATGCAGTATCACTCAGTCACCCCAACTCGCACTGTGAGATACCTCCACAAAGTTCAGACAGGAAATAAGCAACTCAAACAAATTTGCAAAGAAAACCACTTCGACATTCATGAAGTAAGAGCTGGTATTGTTTTGCATGTGAATGTGTGCATACATATTTTATCTCAGACCATCAAGTCAGAGCTCTGACAACACTGAGGGTAAGAGGAAAGTACAGGTGTATTTTTGTTACTGAGGATGAGGCTGAGGGAAGACTTTGATTAATGCTCGTTTGGCTGGGAGAACACCTAAAGATACACTTCTAAAGATCTCGTTAACATGACCCAGTTGAGTTGCAATGCATCTAAGGAGTTTGACATTTAGATGTGCATGCAAGCATGTACAACCTCAATATGATACAAAACTGGTAGTCAAATCCACAAGGGTTAGGCTAGTTAACACCTACAATTTCCTTTAGGCCTCTGAGAGCAACTGTTTTTTTGTAAACAGAGTGAAAATAGTGTCTTCCTAAAGCTTCAGTGAATATGGTATTGTCTGCTTTCTGCTGCTAGGAACTGCATTATGTGAATGAGTTATAAATTGTTAATTTACTTTGTGCAATGTATGCAGTTATACAGGTTTTCCTGTGTTTCATCACAGAGTTGGTTTCTTTATAGAATACATCCTATCTGGAGCTGAAGCTGTTGCTTGTTGTCCCGATAATGTGCTTTCAGCTGTTCAGATGCAAAAGGTCTTGCTGAAAGAAGACGTAATTTTATTCGTGGTGTATCCCTGGAGTGTCCCCTCAGTGGAAGCATATGGCAGCTATTCAGATGTGAGAATAGC